TGACTGCTCTTTAGGCGGCCAGATCCTGAAGATGACACTCAAATACTTTGGCCACCTCATGAGAAGGAAGGACTCCCTGGAGAAGAGCCTGATGCTGGGAAGGATTGAGGGCAAAAGAAGGAGGGGACGGCAGAGGATGAGGTGGCTGGATGGGGTCACTGGGGAGGTGGGTGTGGGCTTGGGTGGACTCCAGGGATGGTGGAGGACAGGAAGGCCTGGAGGGGTGTTGTCCATGGGGTCGCGATGGGTCGGCTGCAACTTCGCAACTAACAACAAGACACATGAGAAATTACATGGCCTTTTGATCATGTGAACTGGGTCATAGGGTTGGAAGGGACTGGTTTAAAGCATTCCTGACAGAGGGCTATCCAATTTCTGCTTGAAGACCCCCCAGTAAAAGAGAGACACCCCCCCCCCCCGCCCGCAGCAGTTGGTGCAATTGTCTGATTGCTTTGACCATTAAAACATTTTTCCTGTTGCTCAACCAAAATTTGCCTCCCTGTCATTTAATCCTGTTATTTCCCATCCAACAGCCCTGAGACTGATCAGAGGTTGCGGCCCCTTCTGTGTGACAAGCCTGCAGGTACTGAAAGAATGTCATCCTCTCTTCTCAAGTGTAAACATTCTCAGTTTCCACATCGGACTTAGCGCCTAGCTTTCCAATCACCTTGCTTTCCTTGTCTGAACGCATTTCAGTTTATCTGAATCCTTCTTGAAATCTGATGTACAGGCACAGTATTCAAGCTGAGTTCTGTCCATCACAGGGAAGAATCACAACCTCTTGGGGTTTTGAAATTATACTTCTGGCAACGTAACCCAAGACCCCCTTTTCCTTTTTTGAAGCCACATCACAGTGACCACTCAAAAGTCGCTTGTGGAAGACAACAACTCTGAGACCCTTTCCACACATATTTGTTTATTTCATGTTTATACTGCCTTAGAGCCTCACTGGGTGGCTCACAAAAGTTCAAATTAAAAGTTTACAAGTCACACACCAATTACTTTTAAAGAACAAAACCGTAACAGCAATTGCAGTTGCTCTTATTCAGCAGCAAAGCACTGCAGCCGTTACAGAATAAAAACAAAGTCAATCCTCAAAGTCAACCCGAGGTTTCGGCAAGGGGCAGCATAGAAATGTAATAATAATAATAATAATAATAATAATAATAATAATAATAATAATAATATTTAAAGGCTGAGAAAATGAAACTGTATTATTTGCCATGCCAAGTGGGTGTCAGGTGCTCCACTTAGGGGAGCCCATTCCAAAAACTGGGTGCCACAACCGAAAAGGCCCTTCTCCGAACAGCCACCCACCCCAATTCCTGTGGAAGGCGCTCCCAGAGAAGGGCCCCAGAAGAGGACCTCTGGGTCCAGGCAGGTCCATATGGGGCGAGCTGGTCCTTCAGACAAAGTACTGCCAAGCCAAGCATCCCCCCTCTGATCCCTGCGCCTTCGATTCTAGTTCCCTAACTAGAGTGTTGCACTTGCCCCTGTTCAGTGTCACTGCGATTTTCTGCCCAGTTTTTAAAACGGACAAGAACACAACACTCACATTCCTGCAGCCCATAAAGGGGGTGGGGTGGGGGGGGGGAGATTCAGAGGATGCTATGCAAGCCATGGCATTTCTGGCTGTCCCAGTGGAATATTCTCCAGATTAAGTATTCCGTGCAATCGGGGAGCAAAGGCCAATTAAAGCAGCACGGAGGACCCAGACCAAAGCCCTGTTCATGGGGAGCTGGCTGGTCCCAATCCGTGCCTGCCTGCTTGCCTGCTCACCTGCAAACTGACACAGGGTCCCATCAAACGGATGCCAACACTGACAGGCTCCCCATACAGATAGGACCAGCCCGTATGGCCCCTTTTCTACATATTTAGCCTGCCTGCCACGGCGACTTTGAGCTTTTCAACATGAAGCTTTGGAGCCAGTTTTCCCCACAAGGTTCTCTTTTTGGCCTTTCCATGTGTTCCTTGGCATGACCACTAGATGGTGCTGTGGCACAGCAGAACTTCAGAACTGCATGAGGGTTTCTTGAGGCCATCACCAGATAATCCCATACTTAATTATATATTTGCATAAGTCTTAAGAAGCCCTGAACATGATTTCTGGATTCAGCAGCTTTGCAAATCTGCAAGTGCAGAAGTCAAAACGCAGTGGACAAGTGCTTATTTCTATGAGATTGCCTTTCCAAACTGAGACTGTGACAGTCATGACAGGGCGTTTCCATGGGCCTTCAATATTTATTGTATATTACGTTGCATTCTGAACTTGGTTCATTTGCTGTTGTGGCTCTTTCAGTTTGTTTCATAAACTGCTTTGTTGTTAAAGCACTGACATTTTTGCTAAAGCAGCTCCTTCCTGATTTCTCTCTGATCTGCAGCTCCCATAATGCCCAGCCAGCATGGCTCACAGTCACAGCCGCAGAGGATTATGGGAATACACATGGACATCTGGAGGGCCTAAACTGAGGCCCTCAGATCTTGTGCCCTCAGAGGGTTCAAAGAGGGCTCATTCCCCCTTGGCTTGGATGAGCCACATGTCCAGATACTGAGTTTCAGGCAAGACCTAAAAGACCCAAACCATGGAGAAAACGATGGAGCCCGCAATGAAGGAGATTAGGAGAGTGGCTACCCAGAGAAGAGCCTTTGGGGAACATGCTCCCCAAAGAGGCTTGCCAACACGTCATTCTTTTCGGCACCAGGCCAAAACCTTTTTATTTTCCCATTATTTTGAGACCAAATCCCTATTTCGATCGGGCTTTTATTATGGACATGATGCTGTGCTTTTATTGTCAGGCCATCCTGAGACTTTTATGATAGAACGAGACGGAAAGGTTTTCAATAAATAAAGATAGATCGTGGAGTGTTTTTGCAGCAAATGAAGTGGAGCAATGCAGAACAGGGAAGCTGCCCCTCGCCTGGTTTCGCTGCGGGTCAGTGGGTGGTCGAGCATTTATCCCAAGGCTGATCCCTTCATACCGCAGGCACCCCCGGTCTGGTGACGTGTCGGGCCCTGACAGCAAAGCCGTGCTATGCACTGGGCCACCTGAGGCAGGACCACGAATGGCCATTTTCAAGGCCCTCCACGAGAGGAGAAAATGCATGGCTTTGCCTGCAGGTCATAAGCCAGTATTGCAGAGGAAGAGGTCCCACGAGGAGGGAAGGAAGACATCTGCTTAAGGCTCATCGGTTGGAATGGGGCAGGACACGAACTGGACTGCATCAAGGGAACGCCCCCCGGTTATTGCCCCACGGGTCCAGTCTGTGGGCCGCTGCGGCGTGGGGCTCCTAGGGCATCGCTTTTACGTCTCTCTCCGGCTGACATGGCCCAGGATCACAAGGCTCCTTGTGGTGTATAATAGCCAGGGCTTGCCGTCGTTGCCCAAACTCAGCCAGAAGAGATGCCAAGCCATTCCTGGCTTATAAAGCACCAGGTTTTATCATGTCACGTGAGTCTCTCTCTTTGCTCTGTCGTGTAAAAAGGTTTGGGACTGAGGCTAGTGACCAGCCCTGAAAAGAGAGGTTCGCCTGGCGCCGTCGTTATTTGTTTTTCGGCGCCAGGCGAAGACCTTTTTATTTAAGCGGCATTTTAATTGTTAATATTATTGGATTTTATCTGGCCAGGGCGGCTTATTTTATATTGGTATTTTCATATTTTTAACTCAATGTTTATATTTTTTAATTTAATGTTATTTTTTAACTTATTGTCGTAAGCTGCCCCGAGGCTTCGGCGAATGGGGCGGCATAAAAATGTTTTAATAAATAAATAAAATAAATAATAAAAAAGGCTCTTGTGACTGAAGAAGAGATTACGAATTTTCTCATCTCTGAGCCTCAACCACTCCTGAAGCTCACAGGACCATTAAAAAAATATCTATGCCTGTTTAGACTGAAAAGAGGCTTAGACTGAAAAGAGGCCTGCCTGGAGTTGTAGACTAGTTTCTCCCTAAACAGGCATGGGGTTGCATCCTTAAATGGCAGAGGTCCTTTGTGGAACTCCCAGAAAGCTAGAAAGTACTTAAGGCATCATGCAACAATTTAAAACATTAACTACCCTGTGGCAATCAAAACAAGAACAGGAAAATCATTCAAGGCATTCTCAGTGCATCAAAAATGACCTATTTCTAAATGCTAAATAGAAGAAAAAACATCTTTATCCGCCCTTCTAAAGGCAGAGAGAATGGGGGCCATTAGTCATGGACAAGGCCGGAGACGGCAGCACTGAGTCGGTGGCACAGGGGCTCCAGGGCCAGACTGGACTGGGCAGACCTGGGGGCCCCCTCCCCACCTGGCCTATGAAGTTAAGTACCTCTCTTTGGGCCACTCACATACTCTGAGGGTCTCCTACCTCACAGGGTGGTTGTGAGGAGAAAAACCGAGATGAGGAGACAGCGTAAGGTGCCTTGCACAAACGGCTGGCTATAAATACATAAATGAATACGGTAGTAAATGGGCATCTGATGCTCTGAATCTGTCCAGTCCTGTGTCCGGTGACAGAAATACCGAACAAGAAACCAGGGCAACACTGGTGAGGATCTGGTGGGTGAAGAGAGGAAGAAGGCGTCTCCATCACTGAGGATTTCACGAGGCATGGCTCATTCACCGAGACCTCTAGAGAGCTTTTCCTTTCAAATGTGAAAACAGAAGGCGGGAGAAAAGCCCACGCACAAAGTTCTGCCCGAAGGCCGTTTTAGGCCCCAGAACAGGCGGCCAGGCCCATCAGACGATCAATGGCCGCCCACCGGGGCCTGCAGACACTGGGGTGAAGGGAATCGGGAGCGAGGCAGCCCGTGAGGCGCAGGCAGACGGGCCTGTGGGTTTCTCGGCACCCGAAGGTGAAGCAGGAGATTCCCCGAGCTCGTTCGGAGGAAGGCCTGTCCGGTCACCCATGGAGGAGGCAGCCGATTTCTCAAGCCTGACGCCTCAGGATATTGGGTCGATTCCTTCGCAGAGATGGCCAGGAGGGGAAAGCGTGGTCTTGTCTTCCATCTTGGGAAACCCTAAACATTCTTGAGCAGAGTTTGGGCAGCTACGCCTGTGAGGGAGAAGCCGGGCAAGCGCAGGCCTCCATCACGTTCTCCAGGAGTTCGCCGTCGGTGAAGAGCCGAAAGGCGATCTCTTCATAGGGGGAGGTCACCCCACACTCAAACAGGCACCCGAAGGCCAGGGACTCCCCGCCCTCACACACGGCCAGGTCCGAGTAGCCGCTGGGCCCGCTGTGCAGCACCCAGGGGGCCTTCCAGCCGCCCTCCTCCAGCGGGGAGGGGTTCAGGTAGATGCCCAGGTCCAGCCGCTTGTGACAGTGCGTGGGATGGGAGAACATGAGCCAGGACGAGCCGCTCTTGTGGGAGGCCAACGACGGGTGAGCCGACCTGGCTGCCTCGTCCTTCTGGCCCAGACCTGGCTGGGGGGTGAAGCTCACCACGCTGCCCTGGCACCCGTGGGGTGGCTCACACAACTGCTGGCAAACGAGGGGCCCCTCGAAGAAGGAGCCCTCGTCCGAGCTGACGGCCTCGACCCGGCACCGGTCCTGGCTCTGGTTGCGGGCGTTGACATACAGGGCCCGGCGGCTGTCCGGGTGGGTCACCTCGGCCACCTGGCACTCGGTCGTCTGGGAGCCCATGAGCAGCTGGCTCCGGGACCAGGACCAGCCCCCATCATCACTGTACAAAACGAAGCAATGAGGATGCGTCCCGGAGACGGCTGCCGGAGCAGGCGAAGGCTCATGGATGTAGTAGGCGTAGGCCGGCACCACCAGGCGCCCGGAGCGGAGCTGCACCCCGTGGCCCGGCCCCACCGCGAAGGTGGCCCAGTTCTTCAGGTCGCCCCCGATCACCTGCTCGGTCAGGTCCGTGGCGGGGCTCCAGGTGCGGCCGCCATCCGGGCTGGCGACGTAGCACAGCCGGGCGGCGTTCCTCCCGGTGCGGATCTGGTGCCACTCCGAGATGGAGGTGTGCACGCAGATGAAGAAGAGGAAAACCTTGCCGCTCTTCCGGTCGTACAGCGGGCACGGGTTCATGGTGCGGTGCCCGGGCAGCACGGCTGTCTCCAGAGCCTCCTGGGGGCCCCACTGCAGCGAGACGGAGAGAAGGGCGGAAAGAGGTGACCGGGACGCGTCTCTGGCCCTGCAGCACAGGGCACATCCCTGCGATATATTGGCAGCTTAGATCTGGAGGACGAAGCCAAGGCACCTTAGCCAGAACATCACCTTGAAAGGGTGAAAACACCTGCATTCGGGTCACCAGAGGCGAGCGGGCCTGGCCCATCTCCTCGCACACATGCCCACTCGCTCGGCGGTAAACGGAACGGATTTCCAAGGCTGTCGTAAGTCAGCCTTCTCCAATCTGGTACCCCCCAGATGTGTTGGACTGCAACTCCCATTGCTCTGGGGAGGATGGACACTGCTGTCTAGCACTTCTGCAGGGCACCAAAGTGGGAGAAGGCTGACATAAATCTGCTGTGCTCTCACATCTGAAGGAAAATAAGCTGCAGTTGCCCGAGCTCATACACAGAAATTTAAGGAGCATCTAGGGATTCTTGCTGTTATCCCTGTTTTCTCATTGGGTCAACTAACTTTTCTTCTGCCATGGATAATTCATTAAGAAAAAAAAGAGGGAATAACTTCACAATGCCCTCTTATTAACTGGGCTAGAAACCTTCCATCTGGAAGCACCCCAGGGGCATCAGAATTTCGGTTGCCAGAATCCACCACTAATTTCTCAAAATATTTATTTTTCTTTGCGCAATATAAAAACAACAAAACCCCACCATTAGAGGAGGAAAAAAGAGGGGAAGAATACTGAATTATAACATTGATTTTTTAAATAGAATTTTAAGAGAGCCATAATGCTGGCTGCTTATTTATCCTTGTAGATATCATATACAGGGATAATATAATTGTTTGCATACACACATGTATGTAGAACAGGACAAACCATGGTTACTAAAAATAATTATGCGTACACTTCAAAAAGGCACCTAAATATTCACATATTTAGCCATTTGTAGATAATGCCTAAAGGCCATCCGTACAAAACCAGAAGTTTCATTAATTCTCCACCTGCTGCATTTAGTGCTCATGGGCCATTTATCCTTCTAATGTTGTAATATTCCTTCTTTAGCTGTTGAAAGGGTGTGGAAAATCTATTTACACTGAGTTTGCATTAAATTCCAGGAGATGGGAGGGTAGGTCAAAAGAACATGTGTATTTTTAAATAGTTCTTACAAAGAACTTTCCATTGCAAGATTTCTCTGAATTATAACTTCCTTCCAAAAGGAAGCTGCCCTCAGGCAGTGCTAACACCTATGAAGGAGAGAAGCTCTCTCAGCAGTGTGGCACCTCCAGCAATTGGCCAATTTAGTTAAGACCTTCTCAAGAAGGTGCTGGTGTGTCAGGTATGCTTGAAAAATAAATTTTTGCTTAATTAAGTGTAGCTGAAGATCCATGACCCTTGCAAAATAAATAATAAGAAAGCACTCCATTGACTGGGCCAGATCATTCCATTCCTGGAGACCTTGGTATCATTTTATTCACCAGTAAAGAATATCTAGAGATGTGGATTTTAGGCTGATCTAAAACTCTCCCTCCTCAATCCATACTTCTGATAATGCAGGCAGCTCCGAAGCTGCAAAAACTGCCAGGCCAAACCTGGAGCCTAAGAAATAATTCAGTCGCATTTATTGCCGTGCAGCCATAGCTGGCATGTCAAGCAGAAAATGGCAGAAAATCATCAGCAGGACCAACAAGTTGTTCCAAAGTAAAGATGAGTCTGGTTTCCAAACATAAATCGAGTATCAGTGGAGCCAAGAGGATGTACCTATCCTAGTACTTCTCCCAAGACTCCACTGGTCCTAACTCTGGTTTTGGGAGTTTTATACCCACCCCAAATGTTGCAGCTCAGGCAGAATGCACACTCTTTAAAAACAAATCCAAGTGCCAGCTATAATGCTTAGAGTACGGGACTGGAGCTTGGACGTTGCTATGCTTCTAGTCCTCACTGAGCCATGGGTGGTGCTGAGCCAGTAGCCAGCTTTTCATGGAGAGGAGGAACAGGTTGTCCAAGCAACTGCCAGCTCCTTGTGAGAGGAAGGATGTAGGCTATAAATGTAAATATAGATGAAAATGGTATGATGCCTAAAGGAATATCTAAAGGGACGCCGGTCGCCATGTATCCGCGCCAGGCCACTCGGATCCTCAGTGCAGGCCAGGCCTCCTTCGTGACCCCCTCAAATGAAGTGAGGAGAAGGGCCTTCTCGGTTGTGGCACCTCAAGGAGGTACAACTGGCACCCATTTTATCCTGCTTTCAACGCTGTCAAGACTTTTTTATTTAGTATCTGTGTTTGTTTATTTTTCGATTTATAGCCTGCCTTTTTCCTACAAGGGGCTCAAGGCAGCTTACATCATTCTCCTCCTCCATCTTCTCCCCACAACAACAACCCTGTGAGGTAGGTTGGGCTGAGAGTCTGTGACTGGCTCAAGTCACCCAGTTGGCTCCATGGCCGAGCGGGGACTCGAACCCGGATCGCCTGAGTCCCAGTCCCCCCTCTTAACCACGACACCACACTGGCTCTCTAGATTGGAGTATTGGTTTGCTGCTGATTTAATGTTGCCCTGTCTACTGTTTTATTGGTTGTTGTTATTGGTCAGAGTATGTTTATTTTCCTCCTATTTCTTATTCGTATGGTCGTATCGATAATGTATTTTAATTTTACTACGCTTTAGGATTTGGTTTCTTATTGTTATTTGTTTTTATTTGTATCTTAAATGTATTTCTATTCCACACTGTGAGCCTTGGGCTTTGGGGCAGCATACAAAAGCGACAGATAAATAGGTAATAGAAATAATGCCCGAAACCCAAACTCTCTCAAGCTACCTGGACAGACAGGCCGTCTCGCAGTCCGCGTCTCATCACCAAGGACTCGGCGTGTTCATCCCTGAAGGAGGACCGCTTCTCTGCAAAGGCCAGGAAGGTGGACTCGGGGGGCAGGTAGAGCAGGGCCGGGATGCGGTAGGTGAGGCCTCCTGGTGCTTCCTGGCGGAAGAGCGTCGCCTTCCTTGGGCTGGCTGGAGGCGCAGACATGCTCCCGGGGAGATCGGCAGCATCCTGAGAAGAGGGGGAAGGACAAGCGCTCTCAGAGGAAGGACAAGGCAACAGTAACCTGGAACACTGACTCCCCTGCCTGATACAGGCCTGCTCTGATTCATCGAAGCTGCCCACCCAGCCGCTTGCCTGTTAAAAACACGAATGTACGTAGAAGTGCGTGCACATATACAGACACACTTATATGTACATGCAGGGCGATAGCAGATGTAGCGTTTCAAGCCCCCCTGCAGACTGAAATAACTGTTGCTCCTCTAGCAACCAGCTCTTCTGAGGCCCGAAGGGGGTGCCACCACGGAGGAAGCCCCGTCGCTGCCAGCCGCTACCCTCGTGGCTCCTCCTGGTGGGCCAGCAACTTGGGCCCCCGGCAGCGATGGCAACCCTTGGCCAGCTGGTGCAGGCACAGCGCTTCCCACCACGTGGAGGTTCGAGGACCAAGCATGCGCCTTGCGCTGGATCCAGAAGCCAGTGTAAATGGCGCAGAACTGGAAAGATGTGCTTCCCAGAAGCGGTGCGGCTGCCGGATTCTGCACCACTGCAGGTGTGAATCCGTGCCGCACCAGGCCCAGGGGTCCATCTAGGCCAGGCCTCTGTTTGCTCAGTGGCCACCCAGCTGCCCACAGGATCACACAAACAGGACAGCGGTGCAAAAGCACCCTCCTCCCCATGTGCCCCAGCATTTGGCCATAAGAACAGAGCGCATTACAGCAATATAAACTGGACATTACCGAGGCATCTTTGGCTAGCTTAGTGGTTGCCTGAAATGGTTTGCGGCTGCTGAAACAGGCCAAGCCAGCAGAAAGCACTCCTGGCTGAGCCTGGTCACATGGCACAAAACCATGGTGGAGCGTGGCACAAAGAAGGCTCCGAGAGGCAGTGTGGTACAGTGGCTAGAGTGTTGCACTGGGGGTTTGGGAGACCTGGGTTCTGGTCCCTGCTCAGGCACGAAGCTCCTTGGGCCAATCACTTCCCGTCAGCCCAACCGACCTCCCAAGGCTATTGTATGGATAAAGTGGAGCAGGGGGAAATACCTTGGATTCTTCACAGGAGGAAAAAAGGGTGGGATATGAATGCCATAGAATCGTCCTCATTATCTTTGTCTCTTACCGCGTTTCCCCGAAAATAAGACCGGGTCTTATATTAATTTTTGCTCCAAAAGACACATTAGGGCTTATTTTCCGGTGATGTCTTATTTTTTCTTACGAAAGCCGTAAGATTCTTGCCCCGAGAGTCCTCCATGATTCCTTTCTTTTACTCAACGGAATAGCTCTTTCTTTTTGTCTGGGGGTCAAAATATTATTCTCTTTAAATCCACCATTAGATCAAGTGTTAATTGCAGACACACGAGACAGGAGTGGCAACACAGAAGGGCATTAAGTGCATCCGTTGCAACACATGACGTGCTGAATTATGAAACGCGTCCGTTTGTTACCAAGTGCGCATGTTGTTCGTGGGCTGCGTCTGTACGCCGACTGGTCATTCGGCAATGAGTCTCGAGTTCATCTGTTTACATAGGCATTTGCCGTTTGCCCAGAGGTGCCCGCTTGGGTATTTACAAATACTTAATTATAATTAATATTATAATTTAAGTATCAATGTCAATAATGTTATTGTATATTTATTTTTATATTAATATTATTATTTTATAATTCGTCTGTTGTGCGTTGCAACGGACGTACTCTATGTGTCCTGGCTGACGATCTTAACTGGGGCTTATTTTTGGGGTAGGGCTTATATTATGAGCATCCTGAAAAACCATGCAAGGGCTTATTTTCTGGTTAGGTCTTATTTTTGGGGAAACAGGGCACTTGGAGAAGATCTGAGTTTTGCTTAGCCACAGTTTGTCTTCGCATCAAGACCAACAAAAACTTTGACACCTAGCTTGAAGCCCTGTCCCAGGGTCAGCAGCAAGACCCCACGGCTCCGGGGTTGGTGCAATGCTTGCTCACCCCGCTATGTCCTCTCGGTCCAAAGGGGCGCCAGACGGGATGCGGCACATGGAGCTTCTCCCGTGCACACGTGCGCGCCCCTTTTTACCAACGCGGGGCAAGGGAAACCGAAGACTCTTCTGGGCGCCCTTCCCCACCTGGCGCCCTCTAGAGATGCCAGTTGAGGCCGCCGCCGCCGCTAGCCGCTGGCCGGGCCGGCTGGGGATGATGGGAGGGGAAGTCAGCCCCCTTCCCTGAAACCCGCGAGGAGAGAGGCGCAATGCGGCAAGACCGGCGAGAGAGGCGGCACGCCGCCTTCCGTGGCGGGGCGGGACTGCGCAGCGGCGGGAGCGGGAGCGGGAGTGGGGGGCTGCCCGGGGCCGGGCCGGGCCGGGCCGTGCCGTGCCCGGTGGGGCTCAGCGGCAGGAGGGCGGGGCGGCAGGCCCCCGCGAGCCCCCCGGCCCCTCTCCCGGCAGGCGAGGCGGAGGGCGGCAGGAGGGGCGGGGAGGGGAGGGGGGCCGCGGGGCGGGCGCTCGGGCCCTCCGCTGACAGCCAGGCTTCCGCGGGGGGGGGGCGCCCCTGCCTTTCCGCTGCCCCCGCCCGTTCTTTTCCGTGCGGCGCCTTGCGAGCCAGCTGCCCGGCCGCCTCGAAGGGGCCTGCGCGGCAGGGCCGCCTGCGTCGCTCGCTGCTTCCCGCAACGGACGGGGCGGCCTGTCCGGAGCCGCCGCCCCCCCCCTTTCTGCCGCGCCCCTGCACAGTCGGGGCGCCCTTGCCCAGGGTGCTGCCCCCCCCAGACCCCCGCCCCTCACCGTGCAGCGATCCTCGGAGCCGCGCAGGAGGAGGGGCGGGCTCGGCCGCGACGGAGAGGCGCCTGCAGGGAGGGGGGAGGGGGGACGGGACGGGCCCTCCCCTCCCCTCCCCGCCCCCCCGCCCCGCCCCCCTGGCGCAAGCGAGCAGGGAAGCCCCCGGAGCCACTTGCGCAGACCCGCACGGGGCCCCGGCGGGGGAACGGCCCCCGCAGCGCGAGGCGCACGCACCTAAACGCGCAGCGACAGGGAAGGGGCGCCCGGATCTCGGCGCAGGGCGGGGGCTGGCCGCTGGCCGTCGTCAGGATCCCGGCATCTCAGTTTGAGAAGAGGGAATAAAACCCGGGTTCGTGGGAAAGACCAAGCGCCCAGACCATCTGAGGCTTTATTGCATGACCCCAAGGTTCCCACGGTACACTCACGATAATGCAGGCTGCATTACCGGGCAGGCAGAGGTGAACTCTGCTGCAGAGCTTCAATACCATTACAGGGCATTTATAGGGACACGGGTACAGGGCAATCGATGACAGAATGCAGGGATTACAATAAGATTCTGAGGTCACCACACATAGAACAGATAAAGAAATGTCAGTCAATCACACAGTAACAATGAGATCACAATATTTCTAATTGCCTGTCTTGACACTTGAACCCATCTCCAGGTCTGCTCAGACATGCAAATTATTATTATATTATTATTATAACATTTCTATGCCGCCCCTTGCCGAAGCCTCTAGAAATTCAAGCCACTAGAAACAATTCATGACACGCTCAGAGACCCCTATCTCGACTCTAAACATTCTGCATGATCAGGGCACATGGAGCCCTCTGGGCTATCAAAAGATTATTGTAAACTGAATTCCAACAATGACTATTTATAATGGATATTTGGGCTAAAATGGCCTACTGTAGCCCACAGCTAAAGGTGAGAGAAAGGAGCGGGGGGAGAGAGGCCATTTTAAACAGTGACAGCTTGGTTTTGAGAAGGAAGGCAGGATTTGATCCCACAATGCGAAAAGCACACAGAAGTAATGTTTTTCAGACAGGATTCATCCAAATTTTCCCAACACCGTCTGGGGGCACTCGCCGAAACCACGGGCTGGGGGCGCACAGCAGCTCCCCGCGCCCTTGCCCTGGGCACGCGGGCTTTTTTGCGGCTCCTGTGCTCGCCACCCTGAATCTTCCCGGTGGGGTTTGCTTTTTCTGAAACCAAAAGCAGCGCCATTTACAAGTAGGGATGCCCTTAGGGGAGAAGGCTCTTTAAGCAAACACACAGGCCTTCAAACCGATGCAAGTTATATGAAAATTGTTATGTTAGTCCTGAAGTCGTGCCTGACCCATCGCGACCCCATGGACAACGCTCCTCCAGGCCTTCCTGTCCTCCACCATCCCCCAGAGACCACTTATGCCGACTGCTTCAGTGACCCCATCCAGCCACCTCATCCTCTGCCGTCCTGTTGCCAATTGCAGCACCCCAAAACACCCCAAAAGTTGGTCGGAGGAAGGCCACATAGCAAAAACACCACAGTTATGCTGTCCCAGAAGGGAAGGCGGATAAGAACAAAATGAGCTTTGTGTAACCCACAGCTAACACGCCAGCCTGACCTCGAATACAGCAATCAAAGGGGCAGTGGAAACGGGTTGCAGCCGCCATGGAAGTTGCACATGTGCAGGGAGAAAGAGCATGGCAAGCCCGTGTGAATTGTTGTAACCCGCGGTGTTACAGATGAGACCAGAGACCGGATGGTAAAATAAAGAGGAGGTTTATTACCTGCAAGATTTCTTGCAGGGACCAACATTCATAGTTAGAATGCGGCCCTGAACAGAGTTGGAATGAGGTTTTTATAGCTTCACAGTGAGCTTTCGGTAAATGGGAAACGATACAATCAGTTTTTGACAAAAATCAGAACAATGGCGACAATGGGGAGTTACAGAATCACATAAGCAGTTGAGCAAGCGATATACAGAAGCAGATTTGGTTAGCAGTAAGTTTTATCTTTTAATTTACACCTTCTAAGCAATCTTTGTCCATTGTAGGTAAGCTCTTTCCACTTTCCGAGGGGAATTCTCGGAGGCAGTTACTAGACATTTGAATGGGCTAGAGCTTAGGAGAGCTAAGCCTATCATGCATACCCTGAGACAGTTTGATTATTCTAGTGTTTGGCCGTGTCATGCCTATCTGGAGCCTAGAGGAGTCATGCCTATCCTGATTGCCCTGAGAAAGCTGATAGATATTTCTATTGTGTCAGGATCCTGGGGAGTCAGGCATAACATTCTCCACTGGTCTTAACAGAAATCAAATCATTGATTCTGAGGTAGGGTCCGGGGCGGCAGCTGAACCAGGAGAATCTCCAGTGTCCCCACCGGTCTTAGGGCGATTTTCTTAGCATTTTTATCAGCACAATCAAAAAATGGAAAACAGTTGGAAAAGCAGCAAAGAAAAAAAAATCAACACACATGGTATGCAACCCCAATGCTAGTAGTCCTCCTGGGAAACTCCATGCTGATTTTGGCCTCCCTTTGGCTGCAAAGAACTCAGAGCCAGCCAGCTCTCATCCTCACCTGCTCCCCCACCTCTCCAGTTCCTTTGCTCCCTAGGCCTCCTCTGACCCATTGCAGCCTTAGGCATTTCATCCTCGTCTGGGCTGAGGCCCTCACGGTGATGACTATCCTGTTTTAGGCCACCATTTCTTCTGGTCAGCAAACTTGGTGCTTTGCAAGGTGGGAGCAGTGTGAGGTGAAGCAATGACCTGATGTCCAGTTCTCACGGTTGGCCTGGTTAGTTCTTTCCTTGTGGATGAAGCAATGGAGAAGGCAGAACACAGGAATGAATTCCCATCAGTCACTTCAGTTCCTGGAACCAGGGCGTAGCATGGGACACGGAGGGCTTTTCCTTCCAGGGCTGTAGAGAAAAGGAGTCTTTTCTTTTCTGAGGTGCCAGCGTGGCTTGTTTGGTTCCTGGAAGGGTGCAGCTCAAAAACAGGTTAATTAAGAGGGAAAAAAAGCTTTTACACTTCTCCACAGAAGCTAGTTGTAGACAGTAGCAGAGATCCGCATGAGTTTGGAGAGAAACCTCAAGAAAGTCTGTCCTTTCTTTAGCACAGTCTCAAGAAGAAAATGTGGGTTGCTGAAATCAATCCAATCAATGTAAAAATGCACACAAAACAAATCCTCCGTTGAACTGGTGTTGCATGAACCTGTTGCTTGCCTAGGCTAAAAAGAAAGGTGCTTTCTGCTGGACAATCAGAACAGTTTTACACAGTTTCTTATTACAGGGATGGTACTCTCCCACACAGATGCAAAATGCACCAACCCACTGTTAGCACAAACAAACCTGAAGGTATGGGAGGCTTCAAATTCAGACTGCTGACATTTTTTTTGCTATCCACACACATTTTTACAAATGGTAACAGCAGAGGTACAATCTCACCCTCACAAGAATAGACAGTATCTAATGCACACATGTTGCGGGAAACAGCATACGCCCTGTTAGCTTAGGAGCTTTAGGAGACACGTTTGCAGGACAGATAGAACCCATGGCTTGCCACGTTGCTCCCCCAGCTTTCCGTCTCTTCTTAGCAGCACTAGTATTTTTGGGCTTGGGAAGAGAAGCAAGGGGCCACTTCCACAGGGATGTGTGTGGGGAAAAGTGAGACTCTGCACTTGCAGCCGCAGTAAGGCCCTGAAGGCCCTGAGTGGAAACCCCATCCAAACTTGTAGCTTTTTGCTCTACATTAAAATGGAGCCAATTCATCCCTCAAGGGAAAAGTAAGCCACAGCTCTTGAGCAAATCCCTAGGTGTAGAGTCAGACCATTTCTTGATCTGCCGCCATATCAGTCTGCATGAGGAGACTGCCGCACCCCCACATGCAACCTGCTTATTTTCTTCCAGAGGCAAATTTCCCACGGGCAACAGCAACCTGGGATGCAGAGAAGAGGAAGCCTTTGCTACTCCTGCCTGTTCTGGACAGCCCCCTTTCTTTCTCTGGGAGATCACAGGGCACTTTGGGGCAAACAGGACCATAATTCAGCCAAGGAGAAAAACCCGATGTTTTGTCAAAGTCAACAGGGAACAATTATCTCATGGAAGGATCTTAAGAGAATGATAGTTTTGCTTTCAGAGGGAACACAAACAATACAAATTAACTATAAGCATTCAAAGCTGATTGGATGCTCTACACCACCTGGAAAAAAAGGAAAGCATAAGGGGAGACAATATTTTAACTGGGGAAGGTAAAATAACATCTGTTTCCAGAGTGAGTAGCCCTCAACTCTGGACCCTGGTAGTTTGGGAGACTGCTTATGTTTATGGAAAGAGTTTTGA